GAGTTGGAGTCATACAGTATGCAGCCTTTTCAGACTGGCTTCTTTCACTTAGTAATATGCATTATGTTTCCTCCATGTCTTTTCATGGATTAATAGCTCATTTCTTTTTACTGCGGAATAATATTCCTTTGTCCAAATGTACCACAGTTTATTTGTCTGTTCACCTACTGAAGGACATCTTGGTTGCTTCCAAGTTTGGCAAATATGAATACAGCTGCTACAAACATCTATGTTTACATAATAATGCACTGACTGTCAATACATAAATTTATTTAGCCATTTTCCTTTTACAAACATTTAGGTTATTTCCAGTTTGGGAGCTTTTAAATTATGCTAAACAACACTGCAAAGAATATCCTTTGTATATATCCTTTGCATATCCGTGTGCATATATCTCCAAGAGAAATTCCTAGATTCCTAGCAGTACAATTGCTGAGTCAGAGAATATGTGCACTTTAAATTTCAATGAGACAATAACAGTGTCTATCCTAGTCTGGTTCCAACCCTGAGTTTTTGTAAAGCATTCGATTTTGCCAGTGTGGTAGAGAAAAAAATTTTTGCTGTTGTTTCTGGATTTTGTATGGCAATCTACTCCCTCCTTTCCTCCCTCAGTGCCCAGATGACCACGCCATATGCTCCCACAGCCTGTCACACATCCCTCTCCCTGTGTCAACCTGAGTTCCCTGCTTGTGAGGTCTGTCCTGTATTTTCTCGCAGCATTAATCACAATCCTCTATAGGAAATCAGCCCTTTGCCGGCATCCAGCCCTACAATTGCACGCACATAGTGCACTTGATCTCACCACCAGTCTGAGGGCAGGTAGGAGTGCAGTAACACTCTGCTTTACAAATGTGGAAACAAAGACCTGTCACCCAGCAAGGCCCACAGGAGCAGTGCCATATCACGCCCCTTGCCAAATTGGTTTCTTTCCTCATCTGCTCCTTTGGCACATGGCTGCTGGGCACATTTCTGTGAAATAGCCTCATTTATCCTACCACCAATTTTTTTTTCCAGATTTTAGCTTTACATGGCCTGCCTCCTTCTGTAATTTCTCTTAAACCTCAACTGCTTATCCCAGCATACTGTGACTCACATCTTACTGTTATTCTCCTCATGTATCAGGTGTTATAGCTCTCCTGCAATAGTTACTGTTACTCAAACATAATTCAAGGTTTCCCACTTCCACATCTGTTCACATCATATCTCCTCTGTGGTATTCTCTTTCTGTTCCCTGACTACCCAAATCACATCCATCCTCAACCCAAGCTCAATGGCCACCAAGTCAATGAAACTTTTTATAATTTCTCTTTGTCTTCGCCCACATAACTAACAAGACCAGCCCTCTGTTGAATGCAGGCCTCTTTTATACCTCTTTTACAGCCTTTATCACACATCCTGTCATATCATAATTTTCCTTCTTAACTTCACTGTGTTACAGTAAATCTTTGGGAGGCAGCTAACTGTGTCCCCCCAGAGCTTTCAGCAGGACCCAGAAGTAGTAACTAAGGTGCCCCCCAAAACTCTCATATGTATGTTTTGAACATGACAAAAATGAAACCATTTCATACAATCTGGCATATAATTTGCTCTCATACCTTAGTGATAAAGCGTGGACAACTTCCTGAGTCTGCAAGCTTTGGTCTACTTCATTCTTTTTAATAACTACACGTCACAATATATATTTCTTCTAATTTACTGAACCATTTCCCCTTTTTGAACAATTAGTTTTGTTTTAATCACAAGTGAAACAGTATCTTTACATAAACATCTGACATTTAAGAAACAAATTTCCAGGGCTTTCCTGGTGGCGCAGTGGTTGAGAGTCCACCTGCCAATGCAGGGGACACAGGTTCATGCCCCGGTCTGGGAAGATGCCACATGCTGCGGAGCAGCTGGGCCCATGAGCCATGGCCTCTGAGCCTGCGCGTCCGGAGCCTGTGTTCCGCAATGGGAGAGGCCACAACAGTGAGAGGCCCGCGTACCGCAAAAAAAAAAAAAAAAAGAAACAAATTTCCAGCAAGAGAATTGCTAGGTGAAAGGATATATACATTTTACATTTTAATAAATTCTACCAAATTACTCTCGAAACAGCTGTGCCAATTTATTTTCTTTTTTAAAATCCTGTTAGTCTCTTGGCTAAAGACTCTTTATTATCCAATACTCCCTTCTCTTTTGGAAGTCTTCCCCATGCCTCCTCCCCAGAATTTATGTGGGGAAATTGGTTACTGAATCAGTCCTCTTTTGTGCATAAAATCAAGTTCCCAGCTCACAGTATTTACTTCATTATATGGAACTGAAGTTTATGTACTAACCTCCACTACTAGCCTGTGAGTTTCTTCAACGCCAAGAGCCCTGCCTTGTTCATTTCTTTACATTCCTCAGCCGCATACTTTAAGGATATCTAAGTAAATGTGTGTGTGTGTGTGTGTTTGTGTGTGTGTGTATACACGCACACATATACGTATAGTATCTGCCCTCTGTATTCTGGACCCTGAGTTGGGGTGTTAGGGATACAAAGATGAATAAATTAGTACTAGAAAGCAAAATGAGGAATAATACTAACATAGGGCAAGTGCTACTGCTTGGTGTGACACAACAGCACATACCAGAGGCATCTAACCTGGTTTCATAGTTAGCAAGTCTTCCTGGAGGAAGCTGACAAAACATGAGTGTGTGTGAGTGTGAGTGTGAGTGTGAGTGTGAGTGTGTGTGTGTGTGTGTGTGTGTGTGTGTGTGTGTGTGTGTGTACGTGTGCGCTGGGGATGGGGACCATGCAGGAGATGAGGGGAGAAGGAAAGGAGGTGGAATAGGGAGCTACTATGAGTAGAGGAAGGAGGCTGGATGAAGCCCAGAGGCTCATGGCCAACGAATTCCAACCTCTCTCCCCACTGGTGACCTGGTGACTGGACAGTGCTGCCACTACTCCAGTCTCCAGCAGTGTGGTGAAACCTAGCTCCGAGACCCTGACAACTGGGGCGCTTCCACCTCAGCAGCCTTAACACGCAGTACTTTCATTGAGTCTGAATCCTGACTAAGTGGTTCAGAGGCAGGCTTTTGATCCAACAGAGCTGGGTCTAAAGCCCTTCTCCTCTTCCTTTTACCTATGGTGTAACCTGCGGCTGGCTGCTTAATTTCTTTAAACCTCAGTTTTCTCATCTGTGAAATGGGAATAACTGTGCCACCTCGTAGTGCTGTATGAGATGAGATAAAAGATGAGAGACTGCAGGTAAGGTGCTACACATAGCTCCTGGTATGTAGAATATGCACATAATAAATAAAACCTATGCCTGTTGTCTTTCAGACCCCGTAACAACCACCAACGAACTATGAAGGGATCATGTGATTCAACTTTCCCATTTTACAGTTGAGGAAACTGAGGCCCAGTGAGGGGCAGTTGCACAACAGAGGTGAGGGCCAGGATGGACTCTCCTCCTCCAGGCCAGCACATGTTTCACCACCCCGCAGTGATTAGACTCAGCGGGGCATCTGTACCTTCTCACCTTGAGCCAGTGAGATCTTTCCCTCTGTGGCATGAGCAAAAGGCACCACTTTGGAGGGAGGCCAGCCCTGCTCCCTTCCAAGCACCTGGAAGGCATTTCTCCTCCTTTGCCCATCTTCCCCAGCCACAGTTGGCTTTACCTTCTCCCACTGTTTCCCTGTCAGCTCTGCTTCTTTTCTTCAAGCAGACACTTCTTGATCCCTACAATTGTTTCATCCCTACTTTCCTACAGGGCCCGCAACTGCAGTTCCTTTTCTTGGGCTCCAGCGCTGGGCAGTTAGCGCTTAGGGGCTCTTCAGCCCAAGAGGCTGCATGTACAATCTCTTCCCCGTGAGAGGTTTCCTCAGTTCCATGGCCAGCAGACCTTTCCATGGCTTCTCTAGGTTTAATATCAGTAATTAATTCAGCATTTACTATGTGTCAGGCCAGTTCTAACCATTTTGCAGATATTAACTCATTTGTTCCTCTGAACACCCCCAAGAGGTTGTGAGATATTATTATCAATAGCCCCAATTTACAGATGAGGAAGTCAAGACACAGGGAAATTAAGTAACTTGCTCAGGGTTTGACGGCTAAGAACTGGAGGAAGCAGGGCTTCAAACCAAGCAGTTGGCTCCAGAGACGCTCTAGAACACCCGTTCAAAGGATCAATCAGGTCATGCCCGGGTTTTTGTCTGAAACCACCACTGGCTTTGCTTCTCCCACTCTCTGACGGGTTTTTCTTGGGAGCTGTTCCTTCAACAATTACTGGCTCACAAACCCTCATCTCAGCAGCTGCTGCTAGAAAATCCAACCTAAGACTTCTTCCAACAATCCATCCCAAAGGTTATCACTGTTAGTAGTTTGATATATACAAAGGATTTTTTTTCCATGTTGGATAAATTTATTAATTCACTTAAAGGACTGCCCTCAGAGAAACAAATATAGTGTTGTGAAATTGAAGCCGTGCTAGAAAGTCTAAGATGACGATAATGATGACAGTGATGATGATGACAACGATAAACACTTTCTTTTGGAAACACTGTGTTAAGTAACTTAAATGCATTATTTCATTTAACCATCAGAAGTGTCCTCTGAGAGTACTGCTATTCAGGGAATGCTTCCACTGTAATGGCAACCACCAACAGACACATCACCCCAAATCTGTTTATCTTCTAAACGTTATGATATTTTAACTTCCATTTTGATGTCCAACCAAAACCTCCAACTTGATGTGGCTATATCGGAATTCATCACTCCTTCCTGTGCTTCAGACACTTAGGCCACTGCTCTCCTCACACCTGCTGGGCAACGGCCCCCACTCCTTTGACTCATCTCCTCAACCCCCAGCCAATCCAACTTAGACTGATTTCTTCTGTTGCCTCATCTCTTGGTTTTTCTCCCTCCCTTTCCAAACCCAGTTTTTTATACATTCTTTCTATTTCCTTAACAGTCATCCAAGAGATTTTATCCTCATTTTACATACAAACATTCTGAGGCCCAGAGGTCTCAAGTATATTACCTGCAGCGCTCAGTTGGTTAAGGGCATTATCAGGGTTGGAACCCAGATCCATTTGGCTCCAAAGCCGAGGCTCTTTCCTTCACAGCAGTGTGTTCCATTAGCCCGAGCCTGGGGCTGAGATACCTTTAGATGTAATAAGAGATTATTTTAAACACTTCAGTAACACTACATTGAATAACAGTGTACTACTTTGAAGTTATTTTTATGCTTTTCAATTTTATTTCGATCTTTTAAAATAGATGGAGAAAGTCCCATTTATTACTAGAATACCGTTAATATCTCCCTGGCACTTCCTAATCTTCCTTTTCAATAAAATGAGAGCAGACCCCAGGCTCAGAACTTTGGCAGGCAACAAAATCTAGCTAGAATTTATTAACATTGTTTCGTTTTCATGGTTACCTTCTCCTGCGGTAATGGCAGTAATACAAAATTTTCTTTAAAAATAAATGCATTTGAGGGCTTCCCTGGTGGCACAATGGTTAAGAATCTGCCTGCCAATGCAGGGGACACGGGTTCAAGCCCTGGTCAGGGAATATCCCACATGCCGTGGAGCAACTAAGCCCTTGCACCATGACTACTGAGCCTGCGCTCTAGAGCCCATGAGCCACAACTACTGAGCCCGCGTGCTACAACTATTGAAGCCCACATGCCTAGAGCCCATGTTCCACAACGAGAAGCCACCACGAGAAGCCCATGCACCACAATGAAGAGTAGCCCCGCTCGCTGCAACTAGAGAAAGTCTGTGCACAGCAACGAAGACCCAATGCAACCAAAAATAAATAAATAAAATTTAAAAAACAAAACAAAAATTGATTTTAAAAATATAAATAGATAAATAAATGTATTTGAGTTTTAGAAGTCAGTGTCAAAAAGAAGTATTCAGTAAATAATAGTACACCTGCTACTCAGAATAGCAGGAATCACAATGGTGAAGTATGCCAAAAAGAAACCAAACAAACATAACCAAGTTGTTCTGTGGGATACTGACAGTTTTTGCTTGCCAACTCTTCAGTAGCTCTTCAGAGCAGGAACTCAGCTCCTCAATGGCCCTCAATGTGCTTCCTTCCCACTACAGGCTTGCTCAGTTTAGAAAAGGAAGGCTCTTAGATGCCAACTATGGACGAAGACCGAGACTCTAAGAAAGAAGGTGACTTCTTTAAGGTTATGGATAACATTATAGCTGTTCTGGGACCAGAACCTAGGTCTCCTTATCCCCAATTCATGCTCTCTCCTCTGCATCAGATTGATGATGACTTGTATTTACCGTCACACACTGTTCATTCCCACAGCTAAAGGAGACTCCAAGCAGTTCTACTCAGATTCAGTAAGAGAAATTAAGCCCTATTCCCTAAGGCATCTATTTTATTATATGTTCTTAGTAGGGTAATAGTTTTGTACCATCCTTGGGAGAATTGGGAAGAATGACCACTCAAATATTTTTCTGTAGGGTTTAATCCTCTTGCAAAACCCCAACCACGGAAAGCTGCTAGAGTTTAGCCCCTTTTGAAGATTAATTGTCCTCAGGCCAAAGAGTCCTTCATATGACCATCTGAAGTTCCTCCTGCTTTAATTTAATGCCATCTTTCTTTGTTCAGTCCCCCTGAGACACAGAGAATTTATTAGCGTGTCTCTCATAAAATGCTAGCATAGCAGGAAATTAAATTCATCTGGTATTGCTCTGAAAACTTTGCTGGTTGCTCTTGCTTACTTTATGGTTGCCAAGGTAATTGTAAACTGATTGTTTGATGACTTGTTCTTGGATCATTCTAGGTACTGATGTTAAGTTTACACATTGACAAACCCAAGTGTGACTAGTAAGAGACCTGCCATCATGGTAAAGAAGACTCTAGACCCAAGGGAACAGAAATATTTAACCTGAAGAGTCGAAGACTCAGGAGAACTCTTAAGGGATTCTACCAAAATCTCAAGGACAATCTTGGGGAAGACAGAGGAGACTTGTTTGAGTGGCCTCAAGGGGGCTGACTTAAGATCCATGGGTAGAAGCTATCAGAAGATGGATTTCAGTTCAACATCTGGATAGTTGAAGAAATACACACTGATGAAAGGAACTGGTGAGCTTGCTTTCATTAGAGATGGCTGTCAAAGAGTTTTGGTGGTTGCACTGTGGAAGGAGCTGACTAGGCTGTGAGATGCTTCATTCAAAAACCACTAACATCCCATCCAGCTATATAACTCAGTGATGATGGTCATTTTTAGGATCATTCTTCTTTCTAAGGAACCAAGTTTTATCCCTTTTTAAATTCATTTTCACAGAAATTCAAATTAAAAATGAATTACTCATTATGTTCAAAGTGTCTTTTCACAACATGATCTGATTAAGACATGTATTGTATATACACATTTTGATTCAAAAATAAGATTTCAGTAATGGCTATCTCTTTTCCAAGGCAGCATGCTAAGCTTTGCATGCATTTAGTCTCATTTAATGTAAGCTTAATGAGATGATACTGTACAGAGATAATACTAAAGACAAACATTTGAGACCATCATTTAGAAAAAAATCTATAGATGTTTCTCTGCTTAGAGGATTGTAAAGATGGAAGGACTCTTCATGGTTGATGTCAAGTAGCTTACCGCCTATGTTTTCTTCTAGGAAACATTCACGTCTTTACTCCATTTTGAGTTAATTCTTGCGTATGGTGTTACGACGGTGGTCCAGTTTCATTCTTTTGCATGTGGCTGTCCAATTTTCCCAACAATATTCATTGAAAATGCTGTTCTTTCCCCCACTGTATACTCTTGCCTCCTTTGTTGTAACTTAATTAACCATATATGTACAGGTTTATTTCTCAGTCCTCTATCCTGTCCCATTAATCTTTGTGTCTCCTTTGATTACAATAGCTTTGTAATATAGCTTGAAATCAGGGAGCTTGATGACTCCAGATCTATTCTTCTTTCTCAAGACTACTTTGGCTATTTGGGGCCTTTGTGGTTCCAATTTTTAGGATTGCTTTTTCTATTTCTGTGAAAAATGCCATTGCAATTTTGATAAGGATTGCACTGAATCTGTAGATTGCTTTGGGTAATATGGATATTTTAACAATATGAATTCTTCCACTCCATGAGCACAGAATATTATTCTCTTTGTGTCTTCTTGAATTTCTTTCATCAATGACATCATTTTCAGTGTACAGATCTTTCACCTCCTTGGTTAAATTTATTCCTAGGTATCTTATTCTTTTTGACAGTTGTAAATGGGATTGTTTTCTTAATTTCTCTTTCTGATAGTTTGCTGTTAAGTATATAGAAATGCAATCGATTTTTTTTTTTTTTTTTGTGGTACGTGGGCCTCTCACTGTGTGGCCTCTCCCATTGCAGAGCACAGGCTCCGGACGCGCAGGTTCAGCAGCCACGGCTCACGGGCCCAGCCACTCCGCGGCATGTGGGATCTTCCCAGACCGGGGCACAAACCCATGTCCCCTGCATCGGCAGGCAGACTCTCAACCACTGCGCCACCAGGGAAGCCCTCGATTTTATTTAATATTTATTTATTTATTTGTTTGGTTGCACTGGGTCTTAATTGCGGCATACATGCTCCTTAGTTGTGGCATGCAAACTCTTAGTTGCAGCATCTAACTGTGGAATCCAGTTCCCGGACCAGGGATCAAACCTGGGCCATTGGGAGCACAGAATCTTATCCACTGCGCCACCAAGGAAGTCCCACAATCGATTTTTGTATATTATTTTATACCCTGCCACTTTACTGAATTCAATTATTCTAACAGTTTTGGGGTGGCATCTTTAAGGTTTTCTATATAAAATCAATGTCATCCACAAATAGTAACAGCTTTACTTCTTCATTTCTGATTTGGATACCTTTTATTTCTTTTTCTTGCCTAATTGCTCTGGCAAAGACTTCCAATACTATGTTGAATAAAAGTGGGGAGAGTGAACATCCTTGTTGTCCTGTTCCTAATCTTAGAGGAAAAACTTTCAGCTTTTCACCATGGAGTATGACGTTTGCTGTGAGCCTGTCATATATGGCCTTGATTAGGTTGAGGTACATGCCCTCTGTATCCACTTTGTATAAACCTCCTAGAAGAAGACATAGGTGGTAGGCTACTTGACACTGATCTTGGCAAAAAATTTTTGGATCTGAATCCAAAGCAGAGGCAACAAAATCAAAAACAAACAAGTGGGACTACATCAAACTAAAAATCTTCTGCACAGCAAAGGAAACAATCAACAAAATGAAAAGACAACCTACTGAATGGGAGAAAATATTTTCACATCATATATCTGATAAGTGGTTACTAACCAACATATATAAAGAACTCATAAAACCCAATAGTAAACAAATAATTCAATTAAAAAAAATACGCAGAGAATCTGAGTAGATATTTTTCCAAAGAAGGCATGCAGGTGGCCAACAGACACATGAAAAGATGCTCAACATCACTAGTCATCAGGGAAATGCAAATCAAAACCACAATGAGGTATCACCTTACATCTGTTAGAACAGCTATTATCAAAAGGATAAGAGATAACAAGTTTTGGTAAGGATGTGGAGAAAAGGGAACCCCTTGTGCACTGCTGGAGGAAATGTGCACTATGGAAAACAGTATGGGGGTTCAGTTGCTCAAAACATTAAAAATAGAACTACTGTATGATCCAGCTATTCCACTTCTGGGTATCTATCTGAAGAAAACAAAAACACTAATTCAAAAAGATATATGCACCCCCATGTTCACTGCAGCATTATTTACTATAGCCAAGATAAGAAAGCAACCTAAGTGTACACTGATAGATAAGTGGATAAGGGAGATATGAAATGATATGATATATGATAGAATCTATCTATCTATCTATCTATATATATATACACACACATATAAATGGACTACCACTCTACCATAAAAAAAGAATGAAATCTTGCCATTGGCAACAACATGGATGAACCTTAAGGGAATTATGCTAAGTGAAATGAGTCAGACAAAGAAAGAACAAATGCCGTATGATTTCACTTACATGTGAAATCTACAAAACAATACAAATGAACAAACAAAAGAAAACACAACAAAAATCATAGATACAGAGAACAAAATGGTATTTGCCAGAGGGGAGTGGTGATGGGGAGAGGGTGAAACAGGTGAAGAGGGTCAAGAGGTACAAACTTCCAATTATAAAATAAATAAGTCACGGGGATGTAATGTACAGCACTGTGACTGTAGTCAATAATATTGTAGAGCATACCTGAAAGTTGCCAAGAGAATAAATCCTAAAAGTTAACTATGATGCATGGTGACAGATGTTAACTAGACTTATTGAGGTGATCACTTCTCAGTGAATACAAATACTGAATCATTACGTTGTACACTTGAAACCGATATAATGTTATTTGTCAATTACACCTCAACAGCAACAAAAAAATGTTTTAAAAGATGGAAGGAATCTTGTCC